CGATCAAGTACTTGGTGGACAGCTCTGAAACAGCATTTCCAGGGTTTCTCTCTCAACTTCTTTTTCCTGTTCCCCACTGTACCTCAGCCCCAAACACAGGGCAGTCTTTCAGCAACAGGTTGCTGACATGTTCCTCTCCTAAACCAGAGACTTCATGAATGCTTACTGCTTACTTCCACTTTAAGAAAATTGTTAATACATATTCAAATTATAAAAAAAAACTTCTGAATTCCAAGCCAGTATTGACCAAGCAATTATGTCATTTTATCAGCACAAGAAATGTATCTTAACTTATATATTTCTATAACCCATTTTATTATTATTATGGGTTTTTTTAAAGAGAGTATAGAAACAGGAACTTCAGGAAAGGGTTTACCTCTTGTATATATTTATACAATTAAAAAACCCCCATGGTTACAGGTACCATAATAATAAAGCTTAATAAAAACCCCTTGGGCTCTGTCACCAAATAATATTATGTTAGTTTGCTGGCCACTTCATTGTAAGGAGAAAGTTTAACATAGTATGGTTTTGTTAAAGCTGTGGAGTCTGTCTGAAAATAATCTGTACTTCAAGTGGAACGAGAAATATTTCACATCCTCTGCTGTAGAATGAGATGCAAAAGCATTTTAAAAGAATAATATATATACACAAAGAAAGAATTTGCTGGAGAGAAGGAGCAAAAACTCAACCAAAAATCCCAAACCAAACCAACAAAATAAAACAGGCATCAAAGCGGAACTTGGACAGGATTATACTCATAACTCTTAAATGGGTCATTCTGGAGTACATTGCCTATAAAGGACACAAAAATCTATTGGTATCATATTATTCAAGTGTTAGCTGAACTTGAATGACATATAGTAAGCAGGCCTCCAGCAAAGTCAAAGCACTATAAATTGCTAGATATAGAAACACGGTATTAGACATTGATTTCCAATGCACTATGTGACTTTGCCAATTTTCTCATGTGAAGCCTCCCTGTAAAAGATCGAGAACCACAAATGGTAGACTGGCAGATTTCCTACCGATACACACAGGCGCACACACACACACTGCACTTGTCACCTGCTTTTCGAGCCAAAACCAGACGGGAAACTGTGGCATGAGACAAACACGTGTCCAAGATAATGAGCTTTGCTGAGAGAGTGTGCATTTCTGTTAAACCAGAGCCAGCGCATGTTGCAATGCCAAATGCTGAGCAATGTTTGGATCAAAGCTTGCTCAGAACTTAGGCAGGTTTCATCTGAAATCTGCCATCTCTGGTCTAAGAGGGAAAATTACCCTAGTACAGAGACCACCTGCAAGAGGGATGCGCAGATGAGGGGCTCTTTAACGCATCTCTCAGGTGTCTCAAGCTTACTCATCTCAAAGTACCCCAGAGTCACCACCACCTGCCTTTAAACGACTTCTGAAAATCAGCAACTCTACCTGTGCAGTTTTCAGTACCAAAATACATAGTGGTAAAGATTATTCTGTCAGAGCAGTTATGCAAGTATTTCTTCTTAGAAGGTTAAGAAAAAGTCCAACTGAACAGCAGCAAAAGCTACAGAAGGAGCCCAAGAGGCTAACCCTAAAGTCTTCTTACGCTTTATTTCACTGAAGTCTTAATATGTTTTCTTTTATTTTATAAGAAGATTTATGAGCACCCTTGAAGAAACAATATCATTTTCAGATACGTTCTATCTTTATCTGCTGAAACCAGAAGACAAATCAATTTTAGAATCCTAATTACAAGAGGAGAGATACAAGTCTAGACACTCAATCAAAACCAAAAAAGCAATAGGGGCAGATGGTCTGAAATAAGCATTCTTTCATGCAGTGCAAAATCTCTTAATCCTTAACATGAAAAAAAAAAAAAATCAGGCAGTTTCTAAAAGTATTTGGCCTAAAGAGTCATATTTTTAATGTGATAACTACTTCTAATGTTTTTCTTTATACAGTGTTCAGTGTAGGCTGTAACGCATTTTCAAGTATTTCCATATTAAAGTGGAAGAATATTTTACTTAAAACATTTCTGCAGGATGAGGATTGGCAATACTTCATTGTATTAAAAAAAATCCACCTCCAATAGCCTTTGTTAGAATTACACTCCCTTTTGGTAAGAGTTCCTACATAATTTCTTTTCAACCTCTTCCATTTGGTGATGTTATATTAAAATCTCAAAATATTTCATGAAGACAAGGCAAGATACATCCTTGAAAATTCAGGATTTTCCCAGGGAAATCTACACATGAGCTGATGGAGGCAAAAGACAAAACAGGGCAGCAGTTTTCTGTATCCAGATGTAAGCTTGAGAGATCCTTAACACAATGGAATACAACTGTGTAATAATATTTTTTAAAAGCTATTTGCTGCTCAAAAATCATGGCCTAAAGATTTTCAAGCTTTTCAAACCCTACAGTTGGGGTCTGTATTTCCATAAACTTCCAAGAAAGTTTTAGGTGAATTCAAGTTCTTATCAGAGTCTGAACTGAATGATAGCAAAATCCTCATAAATAAACTCCAATTTTCAAGTCCTGTTATACTAGCCAAATAGAATAATAATTAACAACTGCTTCCTCTGCTATAACTGCTCTATAAAGTCCATACAATCTCTTAAAACAAATGGCTGCGGTGTGCTAATTAGGATTCAGTTAGGTAGATGACCATTTCAGATGATCAGAGGGTTTAAGTGCCTCAAAAACTGCATTGATCCTATGACCTTAGTTATAGGTCTTTGCAGAACTGAATCTAGCATGTTTAGAAAAGACTGATTCAACTCCTACCACCATCGATTGGTAGGCTTAGGTGGAAATGAATGCCTGGCAGAGATGTTTAATTTGTTGATGTTATTTCCTTAAACATATGTACATGAAATAAAAAATTCTTTCTAATTGCTATGAAAACCTCAGCTCTTCAGCAGATAGGAGGTTTCATTATTGGGCTCAGAAGCTGACTTCTTTGACCTTATTTTGTAGGGAACGATCCAGATGGTCTAACCTTGCTGTTGGCAGCATTAGAGATGAAGCTGATCTTAATTCCAGTTAAAGCCTTGCTTGCTCTTTGATCACACTAAACAAGGTTGAATTTATTTTACCTGAAGGTGTACCCTGTAAAACTCAAAAGAGAAAGTGCTACAAAGAAGCAATAGAAGCATTCATAATTTAAGTGACAGCATGTTTTATACAAAGGACCGTCAAGTAATATGACAAGGCTATGAAGTAAATTGAATAGAATTTAAGGAATCTAATGCAGTTGGTAGAGCTAAATGAGAAGGATTAAAATCCTAGGTAAAAGAAAGGGCAATGGAAATGGAAGTAGTTAGAGACAGATGTAAAATCACTTCAGTGATTGCCTAGCATGTTTCTAGTATTTTACAAATAAAAAATAATTGTCAATTAGGAGAATATACTTATTAACAGCATAATGAAAAAGAAAATTGAAAGCTAGAAGTTCAAAGAACCAAAATACTTAGAAAAGAAGATGGGGAAGCCTGAAAACAGTATTTCAGTTATAAATTGAGGTTCTTTTAGTGGTTGATGATCCCGTATTGATGAAAACACGCAGCGGGTCTTAGACAGCTCACGTGGTCTTGTGTAAGTGTCAGCAAAGACATGTTGTATGAAGATACCATGCAAGTGAAAATGGATTAGCTTAAATTCTGACTTCTCCACTAATTTCTTTGGGGTTTTGTGCAATACTATGCAACATTGTCTCCTGTGTTTTATTTGCTTTGTTAATGGTAAAGAAATCGAGTTCTTTTTCCTCTCTCCAATGCACGCACATGCACACAGCAGTCTTATAAAACATTGCAACAGCAGAAGAAATATCAAAATGCTGCAAAATTATTTATCTAAATATAAAGCTTTATGCACTAATTACCAGCAAGCTCAGAAGAGATGAAACTAGAGTAGGGAAAATGAGAAGAGCCACTGAAATGAATGAAGCCGTAAGACATCCCAGGGATGGTTTCTATCTGTACCCATGTCGCTGAGATGTTCACATTTGCCTGGCAGTATCTCATTAAGATGAATGGGCCACTTCACAAATCTTTGGAGAGTTTCTGAAAGGGCACAGAGACATGAAAGAGAGAAATGATAGCATTTGCCTTCTGCACCATTTAATGGGTATTTACTGGCATGGGGATCAGGTGCTTTACATTTTAAAAAATGACAGAGAGAACCACTCAAGTTCTTTGAGATTTTTCACTTTTCTTGCCCAAACTTTCACAAGGCACTATTGAGGAGTTTTTTGTTTCTTCTGCTTCTTCTAATTAACTAGTTTAATGCTTCAAATTCTAGGCAATAACCACTGAGGAACTATATGAAGTTTTTATTAATATTGGTAACTCTCAGATATACCTTCATGACAGGTAAGTGCTAACCTAAATACCTTCACTATGTATAGAATTATTTGCAAGTCTGTTAAAGCAGCTTTCAGGTACAGCTTTAGGTACAGACATGCCTAATATACCTTCTCCAGCAGATCTGAAAGTTGTTAGTTTGTCTTCAGAGTTCGCACTGACTTAAATGCAAGCAATCCTTAAAGCAGCAGGATAAACCTGCTATTAGGCTAGCTTAATGGAAATTTCAGACTGCTGATTAAAAAAGAAATGGTGGTAGGTAGAAAGAAATGGTGTAGGTGAGGTTCTGGTACAGCTCTAATTAGGTCAATGTAATTTCCCAGGGAGCTGTAAGGTCTTAGAAAATTTCAAGTCACTCTCCTGTTCAAAACAAGCACAGATGGTACACTCCACCCCCCACACGGTGGGATCTAACCATTCTCCTTCCCCTCCAAACCAAACTGTCCCTGGATGAAGGTGAAGATTTCCTTGCTGCCTGGGACAACTGAATTTTTTGATGGAAGAAAAGGACATCTCACAAAACCAGAGTCGCTACTGCATCTTCTCCTAATTCTGTACAGATTCCTCCTCTGTCTTCCTACAAGGAATTATAAAACTAAGTCATGGTGCTATGCCTTCACTGCTAGTTTGAGGAGAGAAAGGATTTTAGCATTACCTGTCATCTCCTCCAACACCTGTAAAGGAGAAGAAATTGATTGACCTCACAGCTTATTTGATGGTTAGATATACAAGCGATGGAACAAAACTCCTCCTGATAGAGACAGATAATGTAAAAAGATAATGTAACCTTGCAGCAACATGTTGCAGTTTGGGAGGTTCAGGTTGCACATTGTGAAAAACTTTTGCACCAGGAGGACAGTGCAACACTGGCACTTTGTTCAGAGCAGCTGTGAAACACCTTCCTTTGTAGTTTTCAAGACTCGGCTAGACAATTAGGCTGACCTTATATGAGGTTGGTGACAGTCCTGCTTCAGGCAGCAGGTTGGGCTAGATGACCTTGGGAGTTTCCTTCCAAGCAATACTTCTAACATTCTGTGAGCATTACACATTTAGAGAGGCAGAATTGGATGGCTTAAGGCAACAACTGTTGTAGAATCAAAGAATCAGAAAATGGTTTGGGTTGGAAGGGATCTTAAAGATCATCTAGTCCAACCCTCTTGCCATGGGCAGGGACACCTTCCAATAGACCAGGTTGCTTAAGGCCCCATCCAACCCGGCCTTGAACACTTCCAGGGATGGGGCATCCACAACTTCACTGGGCAACCTGTTCCAGTGCCTCACCACCCTCATAGCGAAGAGGTCAGACAGTACAGAGGCATTTGAATGTGCACCTTACCCATGGGACCTTTGGGATTATGGATTTATTTCTAACTAGGTCCTTCAATTATGTCCTGATATTCATCAAACTGTCAAAATGGACTATTAAATTTGTTAGCATAACAAAGCTTTAGCTTTAAAGAATCTGTAGCTCCTTTAGTGAGTTTGAGAACATGAGATCTGCATTCCTTTCTCATGTTTTTAAAACCATTTTCAATGCCAGAGTGTGTTTACAAAGCAAAAGGTAACACACAATTTTTTTCCTGAATTGGAATTTCTCATACCCATCTTTTAACAATTACTAGATATAGTACAGCAGTGAAAGCCTCAGCATCCCCGACATCCCCATCTTATGGAACCTTTAAGTTTTATCACTATGTTAAATTTGCATAAAGACAATTATTTATATAGCTATTTAAATAATAGGTTCATTGAACAGCCTAGCTGAAATTTGTCTATACTACTGAACTTACATGGTTTTCAGCATTTTCAGTCTCTTCCTCTGGAGGATCAAGTTTCAGCATTTTCGGTCTCCTGGTCTGGAGGATCAAGCCTTTAGCACCACAAGATTTTGTGGTACACATTGCAAACATAAGAATAAGGGAAATGCAGAAGACTTACGTATTATATTTTACAATTATTTTGGCAAGTACTTAAAAGATTCAGAGCCCTCTTGAAGCATTTTCAGTTAAGTAGTAGTCATTTCTAAATATCCTGAAGCATGTCTAATATGTTGTGAGGTTACAAGCTTCACAGGATTCCATTCCAAAAAAACCCAATAATCCAGCAGATCATTTCTCTTATGTTAATATTTTTCTTCACTAATTTATATTTTGCTTTGGAAATCTAGATTATATTATTTTTGAAAATAAGTGATGTTTAAAAACTATTTTGAAGTTGATTCTTTCTAGTAAGCAAATTTTATACTGATTTTTAGTGAAAGATTGTTTATGCAAGCATTTTTCCAGTGAAATCTATTCAAAAGATCACTTGCTTTTGCACACTTTTCCAGGCTGCTATGAAAAAAATGCTATCTCCAAATATGACAAGCCTATGTTCCAACAGTTTTATGAATGCAAATTCACCCTAACTGGACATAAATTCCAACACAATGTTTTAAGAAATACTTTAAAAGTAGGTTTTACATAGAACTTTTTCAGGAAGTGGGATTTTCTATTTTTTATCAATTATTTTATCAATTTTCTATTAAAAATACATATTACATGAAGATTGCTCAATAGATGTATTCATTTTTTAATCACTGCTTCTAATGTTTCAGTCTTTTCTGTGTAAGAACTGAAATGAAAAAATAAAAATATGCACTTTCAGCTAGTTGGGTTTAAGTTAACTTTGCATGATTAACTGTTCGAACAGAGAAATTAGCACACTTGTAAGCAACTGAATAAACATTCAGTCTTCATGAAACAGAGCCATATATCTAGAGGCATTAATTCTGTAATTAACATAAGGGACAATAACAATGTAGAATAGCTGAAGGACACTATTTACTAGAAGAGTGATTTTAATAACTCACAGATAAAGGAAGTAAAGTTGGGATTATCTCTTCTTCCTGTCTTTTAAAAATTCTAGTGAAAAGAACAGCTCATGTAGAGCCATTTAACTTTTCTTTTCCTATGTTGATGTCAGCTTTGCAGTTATACTTGGCATAACAGCTTTGATTAAACATTTTATATAATTGTAAGCTTCCTGAGGGGACTCAGAATGGAACTATCAGGTGCTTGGGTTACATTCCAGATGGCAAGAGATTTGCTCAGCTTCACACTCCTCTTCCCACTGATGATACTAAACCACAGTGGAATTAATTTGCAAGTAATTCCGGGAACCATCAGGTTGAATTTCAAAGAATTAAAAAAATCAGCAACTCTGCTTTTAAAACAAAGGAGATGATTTGTAGTTGTTTTTTAAACAATTCCCAGGCTTTCCCTCGAGTGATTTTTAAGCCCGCGTCTGCAAGCATTACACTCTAAAAGCACTGCTGTTGCATTAAGTTTACAAGTGAACTGAAATGGCCTTCTAAGGTTAATCCTTTCCCACTCCCGATTTATCATGTAGCTAATGGATACTAGAGTCAACATCTAGAAGCAGATAGGTATGGTAAAGATAGGTGTGGTAAAGTAATGGCCACTATCTAGATAACCTTTCTTTACCACAGAAAGTTAGCTTCTGCAAGAGAAGGGAAGCTAGGAGGGATCTAATCTCATGTGCAGAAATAGCAATGCCAAGGTACACCTTAAGGACGTTTGGGAACAAACCTGGGGACACTGCTGCTCTGTATTCCAGAGAGCTTCAGATGTGGAGGGCTCGGAGGACAATCACAACTATCATTCTCAGAAATCCCTAATGAGCCTGTTGTGCTGTTTGCCACTTCCCCGTTTCTAGTGGGTTGTTGATTGGTCATACTGGTTTCTGACTTGCAATTAAAACATTTTAACGTGTGTTTATACATGCATAATAGTAGAGCTGGAATGGCTTCTGGAGCTTTCCTGTCCCATGAAAATGGGTGTCTAGAAAGGGACTTGAGCAGAGTTGAGGTATTTCCACACAAATCTTTGTCCCAAATATTCTCTCTGGTGACTGAAGATTCCTAAATTTGCTGTTCTGAGTTCAGATCCATGGTTTCTCGTCATGCATAAAACTGAACCAGGCTGAGCTAAGTACCTGTTTAGGCTGAATTGGACATTCTTTTATTTTAGCACCCTAAAAGACTTTATCTGCTGGATTTCAGGCTCAACACACAGCAACAGACTGGCTTTCCGCTTCCCATTCTCAGTAACACATGGCTGTGACAGCTTGAGGATGCCTGAGGAAATGCAAGCGGCCATGGAGGACTGAGTACTTGTTTTGTATTTCATCAAAAGACTGATAAAACTAATGTGATCGTCTGCAAGAACTCTTTGAAAGAGTGGCTATAGATACCCAGTCAGAGGAGAGGAGTTTGAAAAGATATTTTTTTCCTGACCTGGAACCAAAGTTTTGTTCTGCGTGCTGAACAAAATTGTAATGAAGAATAAGAACTGAACTAATGCTAACAACTACAAAGAGGTTACTGGCTAAAAATAAAGGCTCATCAGAGCTCCTGCTACATGCAGACTCACTCAAAGTTACTGCAACAGGTAACAGTAGAAATGGTGACTGCAGTGAAATTAATGCCTGATAACCAGGACAGAGAACAATAAACACGAAAGGAATTTGTTCACCCAAATTCCTTTTGTTCACTCTGTATTACCCACTTTCTTACTAATAACAAGGGAAGGTGGAAGAGCAAATACTTATACATAATATAATTTAGACTGACTTGATTTTCATGTCAAAAGCTACAGACGGAATGGCACACCTTTGAATGGACTTCACTGTTACACCAGTAGACTGTAGTTTTCAACTGAAGATCCATCAAAATACTGTCTGACAGTACTCATTATCCTCTGTAAAACAACCAAGGAATTTAACAGTGGGTAGTAGTTTGAAAAATTAACATCAGTAATCTAATGTCAGACAGTCTTACCAAAGTAAGACAAGATCAAGGGACTCTCGGATTTCAGCTTATCTCAGGACACAGCTATTTCAAACCCCACTTTACTCTGCATAAGCAGAATAGAGAACCATTGCACTGCAGCATCTTAGCATAATAACAGCATGAACATGAACAGATTAATTCTGTGAAAGACCTCTGCTTTCTTATCAATACGGTTTGCAGATATTACCTTTGACTGACAGGAGAAGAAAAAGTTAAAGCAGTATTTCACAATATGGGATTCTTTGAATCAAAGAATTAAAGTAATGTTAAACACAGAGTAAAGGTCAGATGAATCTGATCTTGGAAGATCAGGATGAACTGCAACTCTGAAATCTCAAAAAAAAAATTAAAAAGAAAGGTCAATAACGGATTTAGCCAATTTGCTGATGAGTAACACTTTAATGAAAAATAAATCTTACATTCTATCAGATGATTAAAATGTCATGCCTGAACTATATCACAGATCTAGCAAGATTCTTTCATCTCAAATATATATAGTATTATGGGACAAGTATTGGAAGTTTTAAACAGTAATGTATAGGTTTAAAGAGTTTTTCATAAAAGTAATGCTTAGAAAATAACATTGAAATAATAGGAAAAGTCACATGAAGTTAAGCTAAAAACCTAATATATACCCAAAAGGATATAACTTCAATTAAATTTTGAGCTCTGTTTTGAAATTACCAAAACAGGCATTTATTGCTATTTTTTTATGTACTTAGACCTAAACCTGAAGATTTTGATCCATCAGTTTGTGTTTTTAAAATATGAAAATACCAGTCCTGAATTTGAATAAAGTCTTCAGAACATAAGCATTAATTATAACCCACTGTTCTGAGTGTCCTATTAATTAAAAAAAAAATAGAAAAAACATTCAATGATAACTTAGTCTTATGGGACAGGAAGCAACCCAACACACAGAGTTACAAAAATGACTATGTTATGCCACTTTGGAGACTTGAACATATAGAAGATTCAGAATCCATTCAAGGAACCACTACTTGAATTTAAATAATAAATTATTACCTTTTCTGTAGTTTTAACAGAAATCTTTGTTCAAGAAAAGAGTCAAAAATGGACAGAGTTCCTTTAGCCTGTAAGGAAATCTTCAGGAACACTATCAAGCAGGATGGTAGACTTTTACAAGTGATGATTTTGCTTGCAATTCAGCTGATTTCAATTCATGAATTTCCTTTTCTCTTTATCTACTTAGAAAAAATTTTACAAAAGAAATATTTTTTCAAAAGAATCTCTGAAATTATTCTTTCCATAAATAAAACTGCCAATAAATATCTCATCCCTTCTAGAAACTGCTGTGTAATTATGTAACATCCAAAAGTTTGCAAAGTTAGATTTCAATGTAATAATTATTGAGACCTCATTGGATGTCAATGGACTTTTAATCTGTCAATGATCTGTTCTTGAATGGATAAGCCAACAGGTATTTGGAGAGGTTTGGGGGCATGTGAAATGCCAAGATGTTACAAAGACAGGACAAAATTATTTGCAGCAGTAGTGATGCTACCACACTGATGTCTACTCAAGAAACAGTTTTGTCATGCTACCCTGTTAGCAGTACTTATTTAAATAATAAATATCTGAAACTCTATTAATTTGGAAAAACTTAGGCATTGAGTATCTTCTCCATTTTCAGTCTGACAAGGTCTTCTCTGTTCAGTTTTACAACCTCTTCCTTACCTCTGAAGCAGAAAAGATGACTATTGCCTACAGCGAGATAAATGGAAAGTCCCATGAAGAAATTGTTCATCACATGAATAATTTCATAGATAGCTAAGAAAGATTCCTCCTTTTTTTAAGAATTGTGATCAATCTGAGCCCAAGGCTGCCTGATTGACTTGCTAGTCATTACAAGTAATCAGAAAAATTGTGGGGAAAGATGTATTGATAATGAAACCACCTTAATGCTTATAGTTTTTTCTTTTAATGCAGACTTGTATTGTCTGTTGCTTTTAGATGTTTCAGGAGAAA